TGCAGACTTGGCAAATTCTTTACAACATCTGATCAAGGAAGGGTTTTTTGTTGTTGTTGTTTTTTGATGTTTCTGCATGTTCTCGATGTGCTGCCCTGCTGCTAGGATATGATGAGATGCCCTTATCAGGAGCCCCTTTGGAGCTCTGCAAAGTCTACGTATTTTTAAGTAAACAGCAAACTAGTCCCAGAATGTAGCTTCTTTGGGACTAAAGCAACATTTGCATCAAACAAGAGAGCAGATGCCAGACCCAAGTGGTCTACTGCCCCTAATTGGGCTCTATGTCCTCGTCTCTCCTCTTCCTGTCTCACCCCAACCTCCACATCATTCTATTGTCAGGACCCCTCTATAGCTTCCCCAGGACCTGGGCTGAGTTATAGGATAGGAAGCTGCTCATGGCCTCCAGCTTTCTGCCTTCCATCTGCTTTGTGTTTCGCTCTGCAGACCAGTGCCAGGAGGCTCGCAGGTGGAAGAGATTGGAGATTGGAACTTTTGATCTGCTTATTCCTCAAAGTCTTCAAAGCCCTGACCTATATGTCTACCATGTCCAGGATCTCCAACAAGGCCCTGAAGGGGAATGGCAGGGAATGAGGAATGTGGAAGAAGTCTGATTCCAATGAGAGTAGGCAGGGTGCTGGGTGGCCCAGTAGGTAAGGCCAAGAGTGGCACTCTTGATGTAGGCTCAGGTCCTGATCTCCAGGTCTTGAGATTGAGTCCCATGTCAGCTCCACACTCAGTATGGAGGCTGCTTGAGGTAAGATCTCTCTCCCTCTCCCCTCTCACTTGTGCTCTCTCTCTCAAATAAATAAATAAAATTCTATTTAAAAAGTGAAAATCAGGGCACCTAGGTGGCTCAGTAGGCTAGGCGTCTGGCCTTTGGCTCAGGTCATGATCTCAGGGTCCTGGGATTGAGCCCTGCATCGGGGTCCCTGCTCAGCAGAGTCTGCTTCTTCCTCTCCCTCTGACCTGCCTCCTTGCTTGTGCTCTCTCTCCCTCTCTGTCTGTCAAATAAATAAAATCTTTTTTTTAAAAATGAGAATACACAAGGATACCTGGGTGGTTCAGCAGTTGAGCGTCTGCGTTGAGCTCAGGGAGTGATCCTGGGTCCGGGGATCGAGTACAGCATCAGGCTCCCTACAGGGATCCTGCTTCTCCCTCTGTCTATGTCTCTGCCTCTCTTCATGTGTCTCTCTCGTGAATAAACAAAATAAAAATCTTTTAGATAGATAGATAGATAGATAGATGATAGATAGATAGATAGATAGATAGATAGATAGATAGATAGATGACAGATAAAAATCAGGGTAGGCAGCTGAGCAGTGCTACTGTCTCTGACTCCAGGGCTAAAAGCCTCTTCTTCTCATCCATCCATGAATCATGACTCCCATTTCCTGGGAAGTCATAGCCCCCACACACCCATCATAAGAACTTGGAAAGAGATGTCCTCAAAGACAACCCTTCTCATATTCATGTTAAGAGCCCCCTTCCCAAAAAAATAAAAATAAAAAAATAAAAAATAAAAAATAAAAATAAAATTAAAAAAAGAGCCCCCTTCCCATTTCCCCCTTCGCTGTAATATACCAAACCCTAAATTTTCAACTTCAAGATCAGTCATGTTCAAAGTGTCTACATCTTTCCAAACTTGGAGAAAACTGTTCCAAGGGAAGATCCCTAAGGCAAACTTCCCATCATGGCCAAACCCTGGACCATTAGAAGTTTTCATGGAACCTCTGAGTCAACCAATATTTGACTTGGACTCTATTTGCAGGAATTTTCTATCTTTAAAGGTTAGACAGAGAGAGAAATTTCCTAGTCGAACCCAGTGATCTTCAATATTTGGGTTGTCTGCTTGATTTCTCTTCCCTAAAAGGAAAAAGGATGACCTAAGACCCTGAACAAGGCCTGATAGTGAGGGACTTGGCTGCAGCAAGGATGGTGTAATAAAAGCCATGATCCTGAATGCATTGCATATTCTGAATATGCGGACTTACATATACATTCTTGAGGGCCAGAAGCAAAAAAAGAAAATCATATGTTGCTTTTCAGATATGCAACCTTGGGTACATTGCTTATTTTCTCCGTGCCTCGGGTTCCCCGTATGGGAGAACAAAGATCATAGAAACCTCCCAGAGATGCGATGAGAAGTAAGGGCTAATAGCAAAGTGCTATATGGATGTCAATAACAACAATGGAAAAAAACAAAAAACAAAAAACTGAGGCCCTCAAGAGGGGAGGTCAGGGTGAAGCACTAGGAAAGAAGTAGTTACCCAGAGAGCAATGATAAGGAAGAGCAGATGACCTGGGGTAGCTGCACTTTCTGCCCTTGAGATAATACTGCTTCTCCTTCTCACCTGTCCATAAGGTTTCTCTACTCCAAATGCTCCTTGTCCTACTCACAAAAGACACAGGCTCCGCTCAGCAAATGTTTGTTCCCCACAAATGGCTGCCAGTCTGAGAGTGCTCACCCCTCCCAGAACTTGGGGATTTGTATGGATTATAATTTTGATGACTGATGCAGCCCTAGACGTCAGGAAGATGAACACAACTGGCAAGAGATAAAGGATCCTTCTCATTTCTCACCAGCCACCAGCCTGCCCCATAGTCCTTTCCTGCCCAGGCCCTGCTGCCTGTCTCAACAGAAATATAGTGACCAGACCAAGGGATGTGATATTCCCACTCTGCTTAGAACTGATGCAATCACATGTTATAATTTCTGTTCCATTCTGGGCTCTTCATTTTATGGAAATATTAACTAAGGAAAGAAGAGCAAGATGGGGAAAGATCTGGAAATCTGGTCTCAGGAGAAACAAATGAAGCAATTGGGAATGTGTATCACTCTAGAGAAGGAAAGAACTAGGGACACACATGAGAGCTGTTTTCAAATATTTGGAGGAGTAGCATGTGGAAAAGGAATTCAGAATCATTCTGTTGACTCCAAAAGGTGGCAAAATAAGATCAATGGGTGCAAGTCCTAAAGAGATGAGCTCCTAGTCTATATAAAGAAATATTTCCTGGGACACCAGCCTGGGTGGCTCAACGGTTGAGCATCTGCCTTTGGCTCAGGGCATGATAAGAAAAGACAGAAGGGAAGAGGAGAGGGAGGCAACGCAGATTCCTCAGTTCTCTCTGTGAGCTAAGAAGCAGCTAGATGGTTATCAAAATATCCAAAGGCAGTACCGATCTGAAAGCTGGAGTACAATCTCATGTGGGGGCAGGAACCTCTCTCCACATCTGCCAAAGGCCAGGAGAGAACACTTCTCCCTGCTACTAGAAGCAGATTTACAAGTAACTTACTCCTCCTCTGTCTCTATTCCTTAAACAACAAAACTCCTCCATTAAGCTTACAGTTGTGGGGACTGTGTGTGTGTGTATGTGTTAGGAGAGGGGGAGAGGCCTTTCTCTCCAGGCACACCTAGGATGGAAACCCCCCGCTATTCAGACCATCAGGGACCTGTGAACTTTTCTCTCCCTCTCCCAAACCAGGGCTTCAGACCTCCTTGGTGAGTGGACCCTGTAACTCAGGAAACTGTTCCCAGTCCCAGACTGAGGTGGGAAGGGATGCTGAGGGTGCCTAGTCAGACCCTCTGTGACAGCAGGAAAATTCTCTGCACCTTAAACCCTGCCTTGGTTGAAAGGAGAGGGTGGAAGACTTCAGGCTTCCTGCCTAGGCTTCAACTGACTTAAGAGAAGAATCTGAGTTTTGTCTCAGCAACTGAGCAAACATTTACACTTGTCACCAAAAATAAATTTGAAAGCTAAATTTAAAAGATCTGGAGAGATGGAAAAAAAAGAGAATCAGGTCTTTTCTTGTTTTCCAAAGGAGGAATCTGACATTCAGCTCAGCTCAGCACCTGGCCAACGCAGAAGACATAAGAGCAAGAGGTTTGTGTACTGACTAAATTAAATTCAAACCTAGGATCCTATTTCCCACCCCACCTTGGAGATTTGTGTAAAAGAGAGCTGGAGGAAGAAAAGGAAAAAAGTAAAATGTGCTTTAAATTTTTTCCAGCCACCTATATCCATTTGACTTAGAAAGTAATAAAGAGGCAGAAGAAAGAGCCATATCTGTTGTAGACAAGCCTCTCATTAAAAAGAGGAATTTTTAAAAACGGGATTTTCTCTAGGGAAATAGAGGAGTTTTTCATAAAGGCAGAATTTGGGGACACACTCGGATTATTTTTGTTAGATTTATACAACGCACACTTGAAAGTCTGATTTTTTTTTTCCAAATAGTTTAGGATGTTGAAGAACACAAAGCTGGGGTTGGTAATAGGCACTAACTGGGTTCTATTTTCCTTTTATTTTAGTATCCATCCCTTTGTTCCTCATTATTAAATTCTAGAGATAAACACAAGCTCTTTTTCTTAGTCGAGGCAGGAAGATGCAGATAAAGTCTACTAAACTGTGGGTCCCAACACCCAAATGAAAACCAAGGAAAAAGTCAGCTTTGCAGATGTTCAGTATCCGATGAAGATAATGTAAGAGCTTGGCCACGTTTGGGATTGTTTGTTTTGCTTTGTCTTCATTTTTGCTTTCCCTCTGAGTGCTTAGCCACAGGCCACCAAACTTGAAGAGCTGATTAATTTTCTACCTATTTCCTTTTCGTTTCCATTCTGGGAATTCTGGAAAGATAAATTTGATTGAGGAATTTTTAGCAAAAGGCCCTCCTCCTTTTCACCTGTATGCGGAGAACCCTTCTGTTTTCCAATCATACTTCTCAGAAGTGCTGCTTTGCACCACTGACAGTCAAAATACAAACTCAGGGGTGCCTGGGTGCTCAGTGGTTGAGCATCTGCCTTTGGCCCAGGGGGTGATCCCAGGGTCCTGGGACCGAGTCCCACAGCGGGCTCCCTGCAGGGAACCTGCTTCTTCCTCTGCCTGTGTCTCTGCCTCTCTCTCTCTCTCTGCATCTCTCATAAATAAATAAATAAAATTTTTAAAAAATACAAATTCAAAGGAGTGGGAGAGAAAGAGAATGTTTCCATGCAGGTTAACAATACCTGTCTCCCAGGGAGCCCGACTTCTCCAGCTGTTGCAGCCACGTCTGTGAAGCTGTGTACTGGATTTTTGATTGAGAACACGAGTAACAGTGCTGGTTTATACATCGGTCTGCAAATGAGGAGGGGACGCCGGGGACACTGCGGGAATATATCAAGGTGTGGATTTCAATAGGTTTTGAAATGTTCGCACCATAGGTGGGAGCCTGCAAGCATGCAGGCCCTTTCCAAGGCATCTTTGCAATTCCCTCATTTCCAATGCACCTAAATTACTGAATTTGAATAGCTGAATAGAGACCCCCTGATGGATTCAGCACTTGCTACCCCCCCCCCCATCCTCTGGGGAAGATGTTGTCTTTGTGGCTTCAGTCCCTGGGGTAGGATCTCTCCTGCCAAATCCCAAAGGTGGGGATTGAACAGTGAGTTTCGGAAGCAGACGGAGTGTAAATAGGAGAAACTGTAGGTGATGGGGGGGAAGGAAGAGTCGGGGCTGAAGAAGAAAGTGGGTTAGCTCTTCCACCACCTACCAGCCTGTGTCTGCTTACATACAGCTGGAAGACTTTTCCCCTAAATAACCTGTTATCCAGATTTTGCCTCTTCAGACTCCCCATCCTAAAAGACAAAAACACCTGGCAGAGCCTGCAGCCAATCCGAAATGGGGAACCAGAGAACCCTGGCGAAGCCCTGGCCCTCTGCGTTCCTGCAGGTGGCTGCCCAGGAAGTCCCTTCTCTTAGCTTTGTTCCTACCGATCTAGAAACCTAGCCCCAGGTGGAGCAGAGGGTGCAGGGGACCTTTCCTTTTCCTTGACAGTTTTCCTTTTCTTTTAGATTCAGTGTTAACTTTTTTTTTAAATTTTTTTTTAGATTTCTATTTCTTTATTTGACAGAGAAAGAGAGTGAGCACAGCAAGGGGAGTGGCAGGGAGAGAGAGAGGGAGAAACAGACTCCCCGCTGAGCAGGGAGCCCAATGCAGGACTCAATCCCAGGACCCTGGGATCATGACCTGAGCCAAAGGCAGATGCTTAAAACGACTGAGCCACCCAGGCGCCCCTCCTTCCCTTTTCCTGACTTGTCAGGTTCCTGTTTCTGTGATCAGGATCTATGTGTGTAGATCTATGGTAGTAATAAGCAAAAGGATGTCATCAATTGCCAGCAATTTCCAGTGATGGCTACTGACCAGGCTAGACTGGGTGATGCTCCTGAGGGCTCTTGGAAACTTCCAGCAGGTGGCCATCTCTCGCTGTCCCCTTTCAGACTCAACAAGTCCATACACTGCCCTGTGCCAAGTCACCATATTGGCCTTAGAAGAGGAAGACAACCCAAACATTTTTAGAAAAGATGAAAGGAAACCTAGGTCCATTCGTGTATGGATGACCCTAGATTGCGTGGGGTTGAGTTGGGAGATGGAGAGGGAAAAGAAAGGCTTATCTGTGACAGGAGCACCTCACCAGGATCTCCTCAGCAAGATCTCCTCACCTGGATCACTCTGCAGAAGGATGGCTGCTCCGTCCCTCTTCTACCCACATTTCTATCAACCTAAACACCCAGGGGTGCCTTGCTGGCTCAGTCTCTAGAGCACGTAACTCTTTTTTTTTTTTTTATCTTTATTTTTATTTTTTTATTTTTATTTTTTTAAATTTATTTATGATAGTCACAGAGAGAGAGAGAGGGGGGCAGAAACACAGGCAGAGGGAGAAGCAGGCTCCATGCACCAGGAGCCCGACGTGGGATTCGATCCCGGGTCTCCAGGATCGTGCCCTGGGCCAAAGGCAGGCGCCAAACCGCTGCGCCACCCAGGGATCCCGAGCACGTAACTCTTGATCTTGGGTCGTGAGTAAGTTCGAGCCCTATGTTGGGGGTAGAGATTACTTAAAAAAAAAAAAAAAAAAACCTGGGATGCCTGGGTAGCTCAGCTGTTGAGCTTCTGCCTTTGGCTCAGGGCCTGATCCCGGATTTCCGGGATCAAGTCCCACAACGTGCTCCTTGCATGGAGTCTGCTTCACCTCCCTCTGCCTGTGTCTCTGCCTCTCTTTCTGTCTCTCATGAATAAATAAATAAAATCTTAAAAAAAAAAAAAAAACAGCTGAGCCTTTAAATCCCTTACATTTCCAGAGTTGGGTATTTTCTTGAGTTTACACCTGCTAACCTAAAGAAGCCCCAAACAAAACCTCTGCGGGTGAGCCCTGGGAACAGACTTGCCCTGAAGCTAGGAAGTCAACTTACTGTCATTTGCCAGAGATAGACACCTTCAACGGACAACAGAGATGGTAGAGGAAGAAAATGCTTCTCGATCCTCCTCCCTACTTTCATTACCTCCATAGTAGTACACTGATGATGATAATACTCTTGGACTAATCAAACATTGGAAACTGATATCCTTTCAGGACACCAATTTTGGGATGCCCTCCTTCTAGACAGGAGCAGTTAGCTTCAATCTTCACTTACTCCCATAGGGCTCCCTGCATGGAGCCTGCTTCTCTCTCTGCCTATGTCTCTGCCTCTCTCTCTGTGTCTCTCATGAATAAATAAATACAATCTTTAAAAAAAAATCTTCACTTACTCCACAAATATTTACTGAGCATCTACTATGTGCCAGACACACAGAAATAGAGCAATCAACAAAACAGACAAAATCTCAGCCTTCATGGACCTTACATTCTAGAATGTTAGAATGCTAGAATGTTACATTCTAACATTCTTACATTCTCTAACAGAATGTTAGAGACTGTTTTCATATTTGGTTGCTGAGAATTGTGTCACCTCTTTATTGTATGAGCTCTTTTAGTGTCTTTGGAAAAAAAGTGCAGGCTATTACAAGTTTGCAAGTGTCTCTATGATTAAATATAATCTATAATACTAATAACGTGCAGATACATGACCCTTTGCAGCCCTGGATCATCTCCAAGGCCCAATAGTTTCATTTTAGTCAATTTCCACTCCTTCTCTCAAAAGAAGGAGAATCATTTGCTGAGTCGTCTTTCCTCTGGGAGGCCCCGACTGCTTGCTGGTCCAACAAGAGTGGAGAGACCAGGGCATGACCCCACGACCGGGGCCCTTCCCCCGTCCTTCTGGCCACAGCAATCCCCTGGACAGCCGGCTCAGGCCAGGGCTGGGGGTGGGGGGCTGCTAGCCATTTTAGGGCTGAACTCTCCATGAACCAGGAAGGGAAGGGGCGGCAGCAGAGCAGAGCCAGCAGGAGCAGGCTAGGGAGGCCAGGCTTCTGGGCAAACCTCTCTGGCTGGGTAAATATTGAGCTGCCTCATCTCCAAGGTGGGGGTTGAAACAGAGCTGTCACACCAGAGTAAACTGAAGGGAGCTTCAGGCCCCTGAGGAGCAGAGAGCACATGCTTTGTGGGACTCCCTCCCTCCTAGGTTCCCTTCCAGGCAGAAAGGGCTGCAAGGCTCAGAATCATCTGGACTCAGGCCAGTGATTTTGAGAGCTTAGAGGAAATGGACTGGGGGTAGGAAGAGAAAGAGTGATTTTAATTAGCTCTAACTGGGCCAGTAGACTATATCCAACAGGATGTTTCCCCCACCCCACCCTCCCATCCTCCTATCCCCATTAAGTTTTAACATTCTTTCTTATTTAGGTCTTCTTCTAGCCTCAGATGAAAGGATGAGTCAAGCTGCAGTGGGATAATTCAATTTATATGAAAGACTGGGAAAGCAGGCCCAGAGAGATTAGGTGACTTACCTGAGGACACACAGGAGTCTCCTGATGAGTAAACTTGGGTCCCCTGACTTCTTACAAAATGCTTTCTTCTCTGGAGTATCTGCTCCATCTATTTCCTGATGTGAAGAACAACAGTGGACAGGCGCCAGGAGGCCTTTAAGCCTCTCTCTTCTCCCAAGAAGGGACATAAAATATTTCTCATCTCCAACTCCTGTCCCACCCAGGATTCACTCTATTGTGTAAAGCACTTAGAGAGCCAAGGAAACAGCAAAAGCTGAAGCATCTGGAATATTGTGATTGAGTCATGCAAAGGAGGTCGGTCAAAGAGGATGCCTGGGTGGCTCAGCGTTTTGGCGCCTGCCTTTGGCCCAGGGCCCAATCCTGGAGTCCCGGGATGGAGTCCCACATTGGACTCCCTGCATGGAGCCTGCTTCTCTCTCTCTGCCTGTGTCTCTGCCTCTCTCTCTATCTCTCATTAATAAATAAAATACTTTTTTAAAAGGAGGTCATTCAAGGGAGTCCTTAGAGTCAGGACTGAATCATCAGAAAAGAGAAAAAGAGAGACGTCTGGGTAGCTCAGTGGCTGGGAGTCAGCCTTTGGCTCAGGGTGTGATTCTGGGGTCCAAGATCGAGTCTCACATTGGGGTCCCCACAGGGAGCCTACTTCTCCCTCTGCCTGTGTCTCTGCCTTTCTCTTTCTGTGTCTTTCATGAATAAATGAATGAAATCTTGAAAGAAGAAAGAAAAGAAAGAAGAAAGAAAGAAGAGAGAAAGAAGAAAGAAAGAAAGAAAGAAAGAAAGAAAGAAAGAAAGAAGAAAGAAAGAAAGAAAGAAAGAAAGAAAGAAAGAAAGAAAGAAAGAAAGAAAGAAATAGAAAAAGAACAGAACAGGAAAGAAAAAAGAGAAAAGAAAAATCTGGTACAACTCCAAGGGGTGCCAGTCTCATGGACAATAATAAGAATGTGCTCCCAGACTTATGCAATGAGGCTGTCCTGCCAAGAGCATGTCTTATCATGACCCTGTACCAGTATTCTGTGGAACTACCCTGAATCCTTTTGTTCTGAATTATTTTATTCCCTAACAGCAAGTAGCATGGTTATAGTACTAGTTGGGCCTGTGGCTACAGTGCAAGAGAGCCAGGGCTGGAGGTTGTCTGCTTCCATCACGCCAAGACCAAGAACAACTCAGTGTAAGAAAGTAAGAGAAGGGCAGCCCCAGAGGCTCAGTGGTTTAGTGCTGCCATCAGCCCAGGGCAGGATCCTGGAGACCCGGATCCCATGTCGGACTCCCTGCAGGGAGCCTGCTTCTCCCTCTGCCTTTGTGTCTGCCTCTCTCTGTGTGTCTCTCATGGATAAATAAATAAAATCTTAAAAAAAAAAAATGGGATCCCTGGGTGGCGCAGCGGTTTGGCGCCTGCCTTTGGCCCAGGGCGCGATCCCGGAGACCTGGGATCGAATCCCACATCGGGCTCCCGGTGCATGGAGCCTGCTTCTCCCTCTGCCTATGTCTCTGCCTCTCTCTCTCTCTCTGTGTGACTATCATAAATAAATAAATTAATTAAAAAAATAATAAAAAATAATAATAATAAAAAGAAAGAAAGAAAAGAAAGAAAGAAAGAGAAATGTCTTATGTGAATATATATACGACAGAAAATCTCTACTGAATGCCCTACCAGGCAGTGTTCTAAGCAGGTCTCCTATTATATCTCATTTATTTTTCCACATCCCCCATTTTATATCTGAAGAGATGGAAGCACAGGAGAACTGAGTAACTGGCATATGCTTACCCAGCCAGTAAGAGGGGACACACTGACAATTGAGTCACACTTTAGAACCCTTGCCCTCCACCACTCTGTCAGGAACTCAGTGTGTCTGCCTCCAGAACTACCCGTCCATCCTCCCATGGTAGAGAAGGGAAGAAAGTGCAGGAGGCCCAGATCACTCTTCCCCTCCACAGGTGAGTGCAGAGGCCTGAAGGGAACAAGGGGGCTCCTTCTCAGGCTCAAAGAAGGGAATCCTTTCTGTAGCTCCATAATCTGCCACTAGTCCCATATGCCTATCAGGGATCAAACAAGCTAGGAGTGCGAGAATCAGAGTGTGTGTGCGCCAAAAAGTCCAGATGTGCCCTGGAATAGATTAGGGACCTATTAGAAGTGGGAGAGGACCTGTCTCCCCTAATAATGAGAATTATGATTATAGCTCAAATTTCTTTATTAGGGATTGTTTCAAGTATTTTACACATATTTTTAAAATATTGTATTTATTTGTCAAAGAGAGAGAGCACACAAGCAGAGGGAGAGGGAAAAGCAGGCTTCTCTCTGAGCAGAGAGCCAGATGCAAGACTCGATCCCAGCACCCCAGGATCATGACCTGAACCAAAGGCAGATGCTTAATTGACTGAGCCACCCAGCTGTCCCAGTATTTTACACATATTAACTAATTTAATCCCAACATCAACCCTAGGAAGATAGGTACTCTTCCGATTGCCATTTTGTAGGTAGTGAAACTGATCACAGGGAATTAGACAACTTGCCCAAGGCCACCAGGTGGTGATAAGGCAGGATCTGAAGGAGTTGAACCCAGGTATCCTGGATGTTTCCCCAAATCCTCAGTCTTCCTTTCAGGCTCATCTGGATCCGCACCCCTGCCCCCATCTCAGTCCTGCCAAAGATGCCCCCAGCCTCCCCATACCAATGCCCTTCCAGCAGCCCAGGGTTATGGGTGCAAGGAATGTTCATAACAAAGAAACTAACTTAAAAGTAAGGAGATCTTCAGGGTTTTTTAAATCCCTTTTTCTTGTCTCTCTTGTCCAGGAGATCAAAGGGCCTCACGTTGAGAGAACAAACGCTGAAGAAAAAGGCAAATGAAAGAAGAAAAGTTCACACTTCAGGCTGAGAAACAGATGGTGCAGAGGGTTGGGTGGAGTGGAGGCCCGACTGCCCCCCACCAGAGGGGCAGGGGGGAGGAGATGCTCCTCAGAAACCTTGACAGACTTGCAACCAGCCCTGAGAAGAATTCTCTGAAGACTCAAGGGGAAAAAAATTCTCTTAAGATTTTAATTTTCAAAACAGGAGATTCATCTTGAGATGGTCGTGGTATAAATGGATGTGTGGGGTGGGAAGGGTTTTCCAGTTCTGTGGAAAATGCATGATCAGATTTCCTGGTGAATATAATTCCCCTCTTCTCTCTCCATGAAAAATCCACCTTTCTGAAAGCCGCAGTAGAATCTCTGAGTGAAGCAGTTTGGCATCTATTCTGGAAAGTTGAACAATGAAAACCATCAACTCAATTCAAGAGCAGCAAAATGTGTGTGTGTGTGTGTGTGTGTGTGTGTGTGTGTGTGTGTGTGTGTGTTGCCATCCTCTCCCTGGTCGGTTAGGATGGGATAGGAAAATGCAACGATCTTTTCTTTCTCCAACTAAATGCCTGCCATGTAGACCCATCTGGAGTCTGAGGTTCAAAAAGTGGGATTTAGGAGAGCACAAAGTGGGAAAGAGGGCAAGATCTTTGCATCTAAGGAAATGGGAGATTTGGACTTATTGTGGAGTATTTTGAGCCAGCCCCTCTGTTAACAGAGAATTGATCTGCCCCTCACCCTTCCCTGGGGGAATCTCGTGGCTCCTTCTGCTCTGACCAAAATCATATGGGCCAGCCTTCCCCTTTCCTCCTGTCCCCTTTATCATGCTTCCCCCAGGACCTGTCAGCCCCAGTCCGAGGCCCAACTCCACCACCCTTGTAGTCCTGCCCTAACCACTGCTCCTTCTTCTTCCCTACATGCCTGCCCATTTGCTGGTCCAAAGGTTGGAAGATCCACAAACACCCCAATTGGAAGGCTCCACCGACTTGCAGTAAATGGCTTCAAGCAAAGGGAGTCTTGTTTCCATAGACACTTGCTCTCTCCCCTCTGTCAAGGTGACCCTTGTAGGGAAGCCAACCTTGGTGGCAATTTCAATTCAATGCAGAGAAGCAGTTAATAGATTTTTTTTTTTTTCCAAGACAGAGGGCAAGACAGCGGCCTCTGGGAAAGCTAGGCTTTCTCTAGCAAACACGCTTGCCTTCCTCTCCACCTGGGCTGTGCAATTATTGATAACGTTGCCTCTCCTATAATGGCACCGTTTTCATTAGGAAGCAAATGCTGAGCGTTTCTTACCTACACTCTAGTCCTTTTGGCCACCTCCCTTTCTTTTAGGTCAAGAATTAAACAGATGGGGTGGCTAGGAGCCCCCTTGCTCTCGCGCCACCCCCACATCCCCCCACCCCACCCCACCCCACCCCCTCAGCTGTCAGGGCTCGGGGCCTTTGGACTCCCCGGTAACCGGAATCAATAACCGGGTGGGAGCCCGCAGGCCCGTGTCAGCTCGATGGCACCGCGGGGCTAGTGAGCGATGGCGGTTTGTCGGCCGTCGCAGAGCTTCCTGAGCCCCGGCCCCCCCGCCTCCGCCGACCAAAGGTTTGTCAGTGGGACCGGCCAGAGACAATAGCTGCCCCCGCGGGCTCGCTGTTGGCTTGTTTGGAAAGCCCAGAGGCACTTGGAGGTAAAAAGGTCAGCGCGGGGATGGGGTCACCCCGGCCTCCTCTGCCCCCCCAGGCTCCCAGCATCTCCCGGGGCCCTGGGCGGCTCCCTGCCGGGCTCCCGCGCCCTCCCACCCGCCTCGGCCGCCTCTCCGCTGCGGTCCAGCGCCCCAAGCCCGGGACGTTCACCTTGAGCTGGGGGACGGCCCCTTGGCGGCGGGTGGGCGGGCCGGCGGGGCCAGAGTCAGCCAGCTACCCTGGCCTCCTGTGTCCCCACGTCCCGGTCCCCGCTTCGGGGAAGGGCGCTGCGCTGCGGGGGGGGGGGGGGGGGAGGGGGCGGGGCAGGGTGGAGGGGTAATCTGTGTGCCCGGCCGCACTTTGTCAGGGACCCATCCTCTGACGTTCTCTGAGCAAGAATTGGCGGGGACTGGGCACACTGCACACCTTGCCTACCCCACAATCACCCCATCAGCATTTAGGGAGGGCCCACTCTAGGCCAGGCCTGGGGAGAGAGCAGGGGGAGGAGGTAGAGGGCCCTTGCCTTCTCCCACACTTCCTCCTCTTTTTAACACCTTTGCTGTTCTCTCCAAACAAGCTGTCTTCTCTCTTTTCCTGCCTTCCTCTCTCGGGACCCTCTCTGGACTATCCCACCCCCCATCTTTTCCCTTCTCTCTTTCCTGGTTCCTCCAGTGATGTAAGGATGGCCACTGTCAGACGTGGAAGCTGGGCTCAGTTCTGCTTAGAACACTCCCAGTAAGTCCTTCTGTTTATCCAGTTGAGTGTTTACAGCTCACATCTCTCCAGCCCAACCAGCATTCACCAACTCTTCTCCCATCTCTCCCCAGGGCTCTTGGAGTATGCAGCCTCCTCTATCACCAAGGTGGAGGAACAGAAGCAGTCTGGAAGAGGGTAAAACACATACTTTATTGAAATGAGGTAGCTAGAGGTACAGAGAGAACCCGGTTTGCTTGGGGCTCTGGTTTCCAGAAACTCCGGTGGCACCTCCACTGTTGCTAAGGTTCAGAGAAATGTTTGCTGCTGCTAGCTCTCACTGCACCTGGGCCTCCCTAGGATGCCTCAGGGGTAGAGGTGGATGGAGTTGGGGAGGAGGGTCCTGGGTTTTCCAGGAGGCAATAAATAGGGGAGGAACTGGTGTGGGCGTGCCTGCGCCTTCCTGGTAGAGGCTTGCTGGGGGCAGGCCTCGAATGACAACAACGTTCCAGAAGTCTCCAGAGTACCAAGTTCCAAAACACTTTGGTGGCTTAGAGATGAGGTTGCTGGTGGGAGGAGGCAGGTCTCAGAAAACAACCTCTGGAGGCTGCGTTAGTGCAATACAACCGTGCGGGGAGGGAGTTAATAAGGTTAAATGGGGCGGAGGGTGTTGGGGGGCTTTTTGGTCTGTCACAAGGCAGCTGGTGCTATTGTAAGGTCTGTGGTGACTGCAGAGATTGAGCATCGGTAATATGCCTGCACCCAGAAGCCTCCCCAAGAGAAATTTCAAGGCCTTCCCAGTGTCCTGGCCTAGAAGGGGGGAGTTAGAGTCCGAACGCAGGAGAAGAGTCCTCGAGACTCAAAGGCACTGAACTGAACACGCGGAAGTCGGCAGGAAGAGGAGAATTGGGGAGGACGAGGCTTTGCTCCAACCTCCCCTCCCAGGTGCTGAGCCCCAGATTAAAGGCGGAAGGAAGCCCCTCCCTCCAGAGCTGACAGGTTCCTCTTCTCCCGCCTCTGGTCCTGTAGTGTCCCCAGCCAGCAAAACCCCACCCGCACCTAACAGGGAAGAAGTGGTTCCCCGCACCCCCCACAGGCAGCTGTAAGCCTGCGCCTTCGCGAGGGTCGCCCGGGACACTACTGCCGAGGCCTGGTTAGGGAGGGCGGAGGACAGGGCTGGCCCGGGGCGCTCCGGGGCCCGCGGAGCCCCGACGGAAGGTCGGAGGTTTCATTCAGGAGGTGATGGAGCTGGGCGAGGCCTCCGGGGAGGTGCACGTCGACTGGTCGGAGGCGTCTCCGGCCGCCTCCTGGGGACAGCCCGGCGGGGCTGGGGGCACCCGGCCTCCCTCGCGCTCACGCTTCTTCTGCTTCATGCGCCGGTTCTGGAACCAAATCTTGACCTGCGTCTCGTTGAGCTCCAGGGTGGCGGCGATCTCCACCCTCCGCGCCCGGCTCAGATACTTGTTGAAATGGAACTCCTTCTCCAGCTCGGTCAGCTGCCTCGTGGTGAAGTTGGTGCGCAGCCCGCCAGGCGCGCCCAGGCCGGGCTCCGACACCTTCGCTGGGGGCGGGGCGGGAGAAAGGGCCACGTCAGTCCCCTCACCTCCTTTTCATTCCCCTCTCCTCCTCCTGGGCCGGCTCGGCACCCCCCCCCCCAACACACACATGCTCTGTCCAGCTTCACCTCCCCACGGGTCCCTGGATCGCCCGACACCCCCAAGGTGACCTCCAAACTCAGACGGACCTCCCCCAACAAGTCCGTACCCCCCCTCCCGTCCTCCCCCAACCAGGTCCTGGGTCTGGGTGGGGCGCATGGATGAGCAAGCGGTGGCGGGAGGTGGTGGAGACTCACCCTTAAGGGTAACCGGGCACTCGCTGGGTGGGGAACCCCAACCGACCTGCGCCTGGGCGGGGTGCTCTTACCTGCCTCGACCAGGGCCGCTCTACCTGTCCTGCCAGCCCAAGCCCGGGACCCCTCACTGCAGGAGCAGCAGAGCTGCTTTGGGCCCCGCCCGGAGAGGAGGTAGGCCACGCCTGATTCATACCTGTCTTGGGTGGGTTCCTCTTAACCTTCATCCAGTCGAAGGTCCGGGCCGTGGGGGTGCTGGGTTCTGACGGGCAGGGCGACTCCTTGTCCTCGGAGAGGAGATCAGCATAGGCCGACGCGAAGCTCGCCGCCTGCTCGCTCCCGAAAGGGGGCTGCGGGGGCGGAGGGTAGGGCCCGGGGCCCGCTCCACCGGTTCCGTAGCCGTCGGACAAGCCCCCTAGCTGGGCCCCATAGCTCGAAGGATGATAATAGCCTCCATCTCCTTCCGGTTGGCCCAGAGGATAGTACTGAGAGGGCCCATAGCTGGGGCTGCAGGCGGCCGGGGCGTACCCCGAGGTCGCGGAGCTGGGGAAGGGCACCCCGAGCGCCGAGGGCGGCTGCTGGGCGGGATAGCCTGAGTTCTGCTGGAGCGCGGGGCTGGGCAGTCCCCCACCATAGCGGGTCTCGCCTGCGTAACTGTCAACAGCCGGAGCGGAGCTGGGGGGGAAGGAGGTAGGGGCGCTGTGGGCGCTGTAAGCGCTGGGTCCCCGGTTACAGAGTGGGTACTCTAGGAAGGAGTTCATCCTATTATAGTCCATGCGTGGAGGCCGCAGGAGGGTCGGCCCGTTTGGGGGAGACACCCTCTTGCCCTACAACCTTTCGGCAGTATGTCACAGCGCTGAAGCTTGCATCCATGGCCTGGCCCAGCCTGGGCCAGGGCTCCCCCAGGAAGGGGGTAGGGAGTGGGGGTGGAGGGGCGCATGTGATCTCTCCCAGGCCAATGGGCGCAGCGGGCCAGAGTTTGGCAGCCCCAGCGCCCATCCATCACCCCCCAAGCATTAGCATGACAAAGACACTTCAATCACCCGCAGCCCATCCATCTGAGAGCGACGTGGAAGCGTCAAAAACATCTTTCTTCAAAGACTTTTGGAAAGAAGGGACCAGAGGGAGAGGGGGTAAAAGTTAGAGGAATATTCAAGACTTTCCTCCCCTCCCAACCCCCAAGGCCTTCAATAGGCTCCCGGGTTATTAGATTTGGACAAATTCAACCCAGCTGCCCTTCACTCTTCCCACCCCCAAAGGAGCTCCCTCCACCCCAAGACTGTAGATGGGAAATTGAGCCCCCTTACTTTGCCCCAAACTCCCACCGCTGGTCTCTTTCTCCCCATTTATCTTGGGGTGATGAGGATGGGACAGCAGGGGAAGGCATGTTATCTTGGGCCAAATGGATAACTGTGAAGGAAGAGGGTGCAAAACACCCAAGGGTGGGGCAGGGTCTAGAGTCTAGAGGAAAAATTCATTAACTGAGTGGTGGGAAATGCATTTAAGGGAACAAGGCAGGACGACAGAAACGTGGAGAGGAGGATGAGAAACGCCCCACTTCTCTTTCCACCTCTCCGCATAAACGCTCTCTCCTCATTCACACATCCATTTCTCTCCCTCAGCCTCACTTTATATTCTCTGTCTCAATCCATCTCTCCATTCGTCCATCTCTCTCCATATTTATATTCGTTCCCTACCTATCCATCACCTCATCTCTCTAGATGTATTTATCCTCTCTCTAGCCATCCATAGCTGTAGCTGGCTCGCTCACTCAGACTCAAATAACTTCTTGCATCTCTCCAGAGAGCCACAGTGGGCACAGAGCTAGGTGATGTTTACAGAGAAAGAAGAGAGAAATTTTATTCTCCTTCTCAATGTTTAAAACTAGTGGAGCTAATTCTAGGAAACAAACTGAGGGTTGCTGCAGTGGGGGGGGGCGGTATGGAGTAACTGGGTGATGGGCATTAAGGATGGCACTTGATGTAATGAGCACTGGGTGTTCTATGTAACTGATGAATCGCTATAATATAATACAGTATATGTTAACTAAATTGAATTTAAATTAAATTTTTTTAAAATAAAAATAAATAAAACTACTGGGGCTCCTGTATTCCCCTGGTTGCCTCCTACCCCTCTCTCCCTCATCACCCACCATCTCTCCCCTACCTCCCCTCCTCTAAAAAAAATCCCAAGCCTCAAATTCATAAATTCAATACCAATCACATCTTTTAAAGATTAGTCAGACTTTCTAGAATAAATTAAGGGCGTTGGCTTGGAGAATGGGAGAATCAGTTTAGAGGTCTGAAGGTTCAGGAGTGGAGACTCACCCCTCGCTGCCCCCCACCCCCACATTTGTTGGGTTAGAGTTGAGGGAGGGGAGGAGAACAGGAAGTGCCTCCTTCTCTATCTTCAGACCTGGACAGGACTGGAAGAGAAGCTCTTAGGTGGAGCCCATTGATTCTCCTCCTCCAGACTCTGAGGACAAGAGCTTGGCGCAATCCAACACCCACGCTCATTTGTAACCTGTCAGGGTGTCTGCCTGACCGGAGGCCTGGGGCCGGAGCTCGGGCAAGTCCAGGAGGGCAAGAGTTCAGGGAGGAATCTCTGTAAACAACTGAACTCTGCAGAGGAAGGGAAGCAAGCAGGTGGGACAGGTCTGGGGAGGGCTCTCAAAGCTTCTCAGGTTTTCCCCACCCCTACAGGGGTAGAGTGAGTACTCATCCTTTGCCAAGAACCCCATAGCGTGCTCTCTCTCTCTCTCTCTCTCTCTCTCTCTCTGTGGGTCTCTCCATATTTCTGTTTCCCATTTCCTCTCAGTTTGCCTGTCCTTTATGGTCACTTCTCCAGCTTTCTATCTTTATCACTAGAATCACACAGCCTTTCTCTTCTCCTCATAACTGCGAGCCTGGCTTAGCCCCCCACAGGCCCCTTGCCCCTTTCTCTCCCGATGTGTACTCTGCTTTGGACCCTGCTTCAGACTAGAACAAGTTGGAGGGGAGGGTGTCAGCTGGTAACTTCTTTAAGGGAGATACAGTGGGGAAGGGGGAGAGAATGTTCACTGCCAAAGGGAAAAGGGCAGACAAAGGAAAAGAGAGTTGAGATGGGGGCAGGGGTGGCCTGCAGAGGAGTTGAAGAGAAAAGGAGTTGTGGAGGTAAGAACAAGCATACTTCTTTCTATTCCCCCCCCCTTTTTAAAAGATTTTATTTATTTATTAATGAAAGATAGAGAGAGAGAGACAGAGACACAGGTAGAGAGAGAGAAGCAGGCTCCATGCAGGGAGCCCAATGTGGGACTCAATCCCAGGACTCCAGGATCATGCCCTGGGCCAAAGGCAGGCACTAAACTGCTGAGCCACCCAGGGATCCTCTCTATTTCCCCTTTTGGGGTTGATAGATGTTCCCAACTTTCCCTTCTCACTTTAAGATATTCTCCACGGAGGTCTTTGGAGAAGGGTTTATTTAGGGTTCGGATTTCTCTTCTAATCCCAAATCTGATTGAGGCCTATATCTGACCTGGCTGCCCTGCTTCTGAGGGACTTGAGACTTCTTCATTCTCTACCTTTCCCTCAACCCAGAAGGAACACACTCACCTCATCCCTTGCTTTTACAATTAGGGTAACAATTTGAGGTCTAAATGAAGAAGTGAATTCCAAATCAGTTTGTTTGTTTTAAGAGGAAGAGGAGGGGCAAAGGGAGTGAGGGAAAGAAAGAATCTTAAGCAGGCTCTACCACCAGTGCGGAGCCTAACATGGGGCTCAATCTCAGGACCCTGAGACCATGACTTGAGCCAAAATCAAGAGTCAGATGCTTAACCAACCAACTGAGCCACCTAGGCACCTCCTAAACCAGTTCAATAAGAGAGCGGAAATCTGTTTGGGAGTTGGGGAAATGCACTCTCCCTAGAAACAGCTGAAGTCACCAGTAGTCTATTATTAATGACAAAATGAAAAGAGTTGGGGAAAAAGTGCCTCAAGTGATACTGTTGATTACAGGGATAGCTTTGGCCTCAGCTCTCCAAATTCACATAATCCCTAATTCATCCCTGAATTTGTTGCCTCCCCTTGTGTAGTAGAAAGATTAAAACTTCCCCAAATTCCTATTGGCTCTCCCAGTCCCAGCAGAAATGACTGGCTGGGGGTGGGGGTTGGGGGTAGTAACTTGGCTCCTTATGTTCTCAAGTCTCTTCTTCCTTAAAAGAAACTTCACCAGCCTCTGGCCAGGGAGGAAATCTCTGAAGCCTGGATTCCTTGCTAAATCCACAGCTGAGTATAAAACAAAACAAACAAACAAATAATCCACAGCTGGAATAACCTATAGGCTATAGCATTCTCTGGAATGACCAAATTAAGTTCCCCAGAGAAAGAAGGCCTGGGTGGATGGACCCAACACCAAAGTGAAATCAAGCTGATTGATTTCCTTTTTTATAATCTATGTAGACACAGGAGAGCACAGGCATGTTTAGAACTGAAATTATCTTTGAGAGGCCCCAGTCCTTATCACACTGAGAATGCAAGCAGGGGAACCATTCTAATCAGAATGGGCATGTGTTAGAAGTTTACACCTGAATCTGGCCTTTTTTGTGGAGGAAGGTGCTTTTGCTGGGGGTGGGTAGCAGGAACAATCTGCATAGTTCCTTCATAAGGTCCTCAAGTGTCTCTCTGCCTGTCCTCTCCAACTTAATTCTGGAGGCCCAAGGCCAAGCGCAAGATCAAAGGTTGGAACTCAAGAATTAAAAGGGCATTCAGGATTATAATCTTTTTCTCTATAAGAGATGGCAATTTGAGGAGAGGATGGAATCTGAATTCAGTGGTATTTCTTTTTAAAACCAAGCTGATTAAACTGTCACAAATCTGGTTGAGAACCATAGACAACAAGCAGTATATAATCACAAGGGGAAGATGACTGGTTTGGGGTCCAGAATACTTAGGTTCAAATCCCTTCTTGGCCATTTCTTCACATTATGACTCTGGCCAGGTTTCCTGGTCTCTCTGAATCATGGCCTCAGAGACAAAGAATGTATTTAATTCTACTTACTTCACTGCATTGTTAGTAGGATTAAAGCAAACAAGAAAGTATGAACGACAGAGAACTCTAAATGTCTCTAATGATACTAACATTAGATGCACATTCTGAAGTAATATGAGTCCATCTTCTATTTTTTAATATAACTAGCATATTAAAATATGGAAATATGCATGTGATAGGAAAATAGCATATGTGCTGTATTTTCACATAATATACAGTCATATATTATACAATATGTATTGTATCATATGCAAATTTCTTTGAGAATTCAGAAGTTTGGCTCTGTTTAGGCAAAGGATTTTCTAATTAAGCTGCAGTTTTTGAAAACTAAAACCTAATATTATATAATCTATAAAGAACCCAAATGATTCAAACTGTAGCAGAAGGGTGAGGCTAGATATTAGCAAGACCTTCCTTTTTTTAAGGTTTTATTTATTTATTCATGAGAGGCACAGAGAGAGAGAGACAGACATAGGCAGAGGGAGAAGCAGGCTCCCTGCAGGGAAGCCCAATGCAGGACTCAATCCCAGGACTCTGGGATCATGACCTGAGCCAAAGGCAGAGACACTCAACCACTGAGCCACCCAGGTGCCCCCAACAAGAATTTCCTGATCTTCCAAATATTTGGAAAAGGTTTTCTGGGGAAAATGTCGTCTCTCTTTCCTTGAGGAACTTAGCTTACAAATTGCCCTACCTGGGTGGGAGTAGGGTTGAACCTGTCTTCTGGATTCTAGATAGATTTCATCTGGAC